AAAAAGACGGGTTTATTAGGTTTAATACATTTGGCTGCTTTTAGCCTTACCCTGGGGTTGGTTCACCCTCCGCCTATGAAAAAAGGCTCTCTTTTTTTCTCCCGTGGAGTTGGGTGCACTCAAAAGATTAAAGGTTATTTCTTGTCATTCATGTATGAACTGTTTCTCAGTGGCTTGTACACATGCTCACAGGTTCAAGTCCGGTCTCAGCATGTCCTTGTTCCTTGTCAACTCTTTAATTCTGACTTTGCTCTCTATGCCATACGGTCTTATAAATGAACAGTAAAGGCCAGAAAATAAAACCGCAATGATTATAACATTTGTAGTCACTTTGTTCTGCAGTGATTGATACAAAGTGTTATATTAAAAAAAAAATCCCATTGGGCAGTATACTGTCTACGGTCATGAACACTAACCTTCTCAATCAGCAATAATTCAACAAGCTATTGCCCCAGAACAACCAGCAAGTCGGCAAACAGTGGATCACCTATCACCCTGAGCCAAATGAGCTGCTGCCTCATGGCTTGAGGTCATTGTGTAAAATTACCCAGAGATTAGGGCATCTTACGGGCAGGCAGCCCTACACACGGTGTCGGTGTCAAGTGATCTCTCTGTCTCTCTCTAAGTAAGAGGTCTTTGGTTTCCTCCAGAGCGGCTGTCTGGGAGGATGAACGGAGGGTGTTAGAGCTTAGCACACTTTGACTTTAAGTCTCATTGACTGCACAGCTGAGATGGGAACAACAGCAGAGTACGGCGTGTTCAGTCTTCATCAACACCCTGAACTGATGGCTGTGTGTGGGACCGGGATAGCCGTTTCAAACCTGTATGACTTTCTTTGGTGCCAATTGATTTCCGATGTATGGAGGAAAAGACATTTCTAAAAATATCAAAGAAAGTCATACAGTTTTAGAACAAAATAATGGTGAATAAATGAATTAAACCTTAAAAAAATTGCTATAAGTAATATATTAACTTATGTTGATTTACTTCTGTGACACTTTTTTTCCACATCATACATTAAAAAAGTGTGATTTTAATCATGTTCACACGAATCAATAAACACAATTTGTTGTTGGTCCCCATTGACTTCCGTAGTGTCGGAAAACAATAGCAGTCAATTGGGACCAACAACTGTTTAGTTACCAACATTTTTCCAAATATCTCAATTTGTGTTCAGCAGAAGAAAGAAAATTATACAGGTTTAGAACAACTTGAGGGTGAGTAAATGCGGACACATTTATTTTTTATTTTTTTTCAAAGGGATTTTGAAGTATCCCTTTAAAAACATTATTGTACCATCCTCAGCCTAAACAAAAGCTCCACTCTTCACCACAAAGGTAAAACGGTGTAATTAAAATAAATCCCAACATAACTGAACGTTAAACAATATAGTATCCAACTTTTCTCATCGGAAACACCAAAAATTACTTCATTCCAACATTTTTACCCTCCCTATTAAGTTACATGCATAGCATTCTGAAAACTACGGTTTCGGTCAACATCAAAAATCATTTTCAAGTACTTGATTGGTTCACATTCACCATACATAATTTAATCTAGTAGATTGCACTTTGTAGAGAATTACAATAATCGAAAGCAAATAAATAATTTTGCTGTGTAAATCACAAATTTGACTAGTAAACCGTATAATCGTTTTTTTTTTTCATTGTCGTTTTCCTCAACTGGTTGTGTTCATATAAACCTCACATCAAGGTTTATGTGAATCATTCCTAAATCAGCCATTTGGCCATGGTTATCGCTCATTGCTTATTTAAAAATGGCCAGACATCAAGTTAATTGGTTTGCCAGTAGTAGAAATCAATGCATGCGTTCAGCACAACTCCGTAATGCTATTGATGTGTAAATAAAGGGATAGTTGACCTCAAAATGAAAATCCCTTCAAGATATCTTTAAGGTCGGTTCAATATTTAAATGTACATTAACCCATTTGTAGTGCTGCACGATGTGAATTCGACCTTGGCTTGTTAGGAGGCAGATGTATAGATATTCTTGAGTAGTTTGGTTTTGATAACCAGGAAGCAAGCAGCGCTCAAACCTACCTGAGTCTCTGTGGATATATTGATAATTGCGGGACCTACCAGGTTAAAAAGACAATGGCTTTCATTGTCAAACCCACAGGAGGAAATCCTGCCTTCCTTAGACTAGGGATTCACTGAATGAATGGTGTTTGTGTGTGGAGATGACCAAAAAGAGAGGCTGATGGAGAGAGATTTTATAATTAATGGGGGAAAAAAGACGTGCTAAGTGAGAATGTTGGGAATGGAGACCAAGAGATTGGAGAAAGGGGGGCAGGGAGGAAGGCAGGGAGTATTTGGGGGAGGGGGTTGTTAGCTGAACTCATTCATAAAAAAAAAAACTCTGTAGCAAAAGAGGAGGGCGAGTGGTAGGAGAAGGTCAAAGGATGGAGCTGCGGATGGTTTTAGGAGGCCTTGGCGGGGGTTGGGTGGCACTTTTGCCCAATTCCTTTCCCAGCAACCCACCCCCCTCTGAGAGATGGGTGTCAGTTAAACCTGACGTTGTGTGAGAGCCGAAGTGTGGACGGCTGTGGACTTCTCACCTGGTGTAGCTAGCAATGATGGGGAAGCTACTTTGAAATGATCAGCCTCTTAACAAACTACAGTTTAAAGGCAGTCAAGCTATTTTTTCAACATGGGCTCAATGGAAAAATGTGCCTCCAATTATATTTTCACAAAACTCCAAAGATCTCCCAGTATAATTCACTTCCAATTAATTCTAGTGGCACTAAAACACCAAAACTGCTATTCCTTATTTACACACATTATGATGACAGGGCAGATTATTGGTTAGGTGAAGACTTATTTTCATACAGTTCCTTGAACAATACTATGTTGTGACATCTAAACACACAGTGCATGATTTGTAAACTAATACATTGAGGTTTGCATGGCATAATTGGCTCCATATGAGTTTTCTGACAATGTAAGCTTGCTCGGTAGTCCACCCGGTACAACATTTTTGTGTGATTTTTGAATCGATGCTGTGTGCTCTAGTGCAAATCCTGTGAAACACAAGTCACAATGAAAGCGCTCAAACAAACAAGGTAAATTGGCATGTTTGCTTTAGCAAATGCGTTTTAATCTCATGTTTGCCTTTGTTGACACTTAAGTAGAGTTTAGTGTAGGTGATGATACATTGTTTTCAAATACGATAGAGCATTAACCTTATAGCCGGGCGTTTTCAGACAGTTGCAGTGCATACAACATTTGTTTCAGATGAACCCCAAAATCACTAATAAAACGACTATGAACTATGTAACTATGTAAAATCATTGGCGTTCAATGTTGTTTGGGCCACAGTGTTCTTGAAATTATATTTTGTTTTATGCAGAAGAAAGAAATGCATTCGTGTTTTGAACGACTGAGTAAAAGGTGGTATAATGTCTATCACTTCATTAAACAAGAAAAGTATTCCAGTGTTTTGCTCTCCGAGAGAATGTGAGGAATTTATTACAGACCATTAAGAGTTTAATGTGTAAAAGACTAAAAACATTCGCCCAATGAATGTCCTGGTGAGAAGATAAGCAGTCTTATTACAAGGCTTGATTTTAAGGTAGCAGACCAACACCACCAAAGCAGATTGTTCTGTGAAAACCATGGCTGGAGTCAGCTTGATGCACGATCTCACAAATATACCAACTAGCCCAATTTTTGGTCTCCTATTTTTGGCGGTTGTTTGTTAGGAGTACAAGCAGAAGGTTGTTTTTAAAGGTAGATCCTTTCTCAAGCCCCATTTCCATGCGCCTATAGAGCAAGTATCTCAGGAATGTGAGCTTCCCCCACTTTTTCCCTCAGCACTGATGGCCCGGGTGAGGTTTAACCAGATGGCGTCATTTTGCTTGTATCTGCCCATCCCATTCATGTCATTCACTGCACTTTCATTGTTTGTTTCTGGGTTTTTTTTTTTTTTTTTTTTTTTTTGAGAAACAGTTCCAGTACAAATGTATTCTTATTTATCTCTCATTGTGACATATGCTCCATGCATATGTATTAGATGCTAAATTGGTCTTATGTGATCTGGATGTAGAAAAAGTGCATTCTGAATGTGGTGGTAGGCTGTTAGAGCATATAGGTACGTCTGAATATATTGTTGAGTAACATCATGTCTAAGATGCCATTGTCTGGTTGGAAAACCGACAGTTTTTGAAACAGCATAGATGTATCCTTCACTGCTTATGCTATCTTGTAATGTTTTGCCTGTAGGCTGCTAGTTTGAGCCTTCAGTTTCAGATGCAACCATTGATGGATGCAAATCTTCAGAGTTAATTGGTAGAGAGCCCAGATGAGAGAGCCGTTTTGATCTGAGTGTTAAGTGAAGAGGTGGTTGTGAAGGCGATGTAGAAACAGAACTGGGGGCAGGGAAGATGCCATGCCGGTTCTTTCAGAATTGCAGATCTTAATTAAATGCATTTTTGAGGGGAAGGCATGCCCAAAGTGGGGATTTGGCTGAAATATGCTGTATACAACTTTCTATCTCGTGGGGAAAAAAAAAGAAAGAAAAAATATCTATACCAACTGCATATTTGCATGACTATAATTTTATATTAAACTGCACATTTCTAATGGCAAGAAAAATGGCTGGTTGTCATGAAAACATTTATATCCATGCAAGTGTTTGTTTATAGACAGATGACAGTATAAATATGATCTAAGCGTCTAAAGCAGTGTAGTCTCGCGTAGCCAGACCTTCAGACTGACGGCTTTCTTCTTTCGTGAGGGCGTTTGGCGCCACGGTATCTTTGTTTCCAGGTGGAACGTTACAGAACGTGACACGCACGTCCACCGGAAATCCTGTACAATTCAACCAATCCAATGACGACTTCGAAACTCCTGAAGTGTTTCCACTTTTGTGTGCCGTATGCATCAGACGTTCAGCCAGCGGTCCGTGGGCGTGACATCTGAGGCTGAGACTAAAAGCAGTGTTTCTACCCTATCTCTGCAGAGCAAGCTTCATATGGAGGGCTTCCGCAGTCTGAAGGAAGGAGAAGCTGTGGAGTTCACCTTCAAAAGGTCCTCTAAGGGTCTGGAGTCCTTACGGGTGACGGGGACAGGCGGGGCACCATGTGTAGGCAGCGAGAAGAAACCCAAGGGCACCCAAAAACGCCGTTCAAAAGGAGATCGGTGAGTGCTGTTCAGAACTACAACATTCTGTGCTCTTACTCTATTTATGAATGCTTCCTGAAGTTATACAGAATTCATCATCTGATTAACTTGGCCTGCATCCCAATGTTCATACTATCCATCCTAAAAAGTATATGACATTAGAATAGTGTGTCCCAAAGCATAGTATGTTGAAAAGATTATGCCAAAAGTCCCCAGATGGTCTACTATTTCAGGGAGATTTTTGAAGTGTGCACACTCTAATGGCTAATATTGCCCACAATTTGATGAAGGATTCGGTTCAGAACTACAAACGCAAATAAAAAGCATTTTAAAAACTACAAACATGGCAGATGTGCATGACCGATAGAGGTTTATGGCGCGTTCAAGTCATGTCGGATTTATCGTATTTACGAGTTGAACGCACATGAACGCCACCACAAAGTCGTTATTACGAGTGGGAAACTCGAAATTTTCTTTAAGCTCCGAGTTTCCGAGTTGGGGGCGTATCAATGAGAAACATGACGGAATCGATGGATGTAACGTCTGTAGTTGACGGTAAATTTTTGTTTAAATTGATAGTTTAGTTGTCCTATAAAGATTGTCAAAGTAAAACATAAATCACAATACTTATAGGTATTAAGCAGTGACATTGTCAGGCTTTTTATTTACCAAAAAATAAGCTTTTTGAATGTGACAGGATTGTAATATAACAAGTTTTTATGCGATACAGATTAAAGTGGCTTCATAAATTACTTTTTAAAAATATTAAAAACGCAAAACACACCTGATGCAAATTCTTTGCTCTTCATTTTCTATAAGCAGAGTTAACAGACCCTGTTGTATTTTCTTGTAATTTATTAAAAGAAGCCATCTTGCCATCTTGTGCCGACTAAACTGACTTGAACGCACCTGACGTCGTAATTACGACTTGTCAACTCGTAAGTACCAGGAGGACTTGAACGCAGCATTAGATAAAGGGGTTTGAGGTACTAATAATCAACATTTAATCTGGTTATCTGTTATTTTTCATCTGCAACAACATTTAACTTTTATAAACATCCATTTGACCTTTAACTTTTAAATGCATCATTATGCAAAAAGATGAGCAGCATAAAGATCCATGGCTGGCAGATCAACATGCTGTTACTTTTCTTTCCTGTATGGTAGGGGGATAAATTAATTGAAATGTGGAGGGTACATATAACTGACAGAGTGGGCCATTAAAGAAGCAATAGTATGACGTGATATGTCTCAAAGTTTGCCTACTCTTCTACATATATATATATATATATATATACACACATACACCTTGCTACGTGTACTGTGTTAGGCTAACCAAGACTTGTCATTTGCACTTATATATTGTTGCTCTTTTGTTAGTTTTGACTGCTTTTATTGTCCTCATTTGTAAGTCGCTTTGGATAAAAGCGTCTGCTAAATGTAAATGTACATATAAAATAAAACCATTATTTTAATGAGAGTTAAGTACATTTCCCTCACTTCCAAATTTTTTTTTTTT